CCTCGTCCCTCCTGCACCATTGCTGCCTCAGCTCCCTGCAAAGCCCCAAACAAAGGGGACAAAAGCATCATCCCAGGCAAGGTCTGTATATTCTTCCAGCTGGTGTTAGAGCAGTTAACTCTCTGTTCAGGCAGACACAGCCCAGAATCAGCTGAGTCAGAGCCCACATTTCCTTCCTCTTGCCCCTCACTGTCCCAAGCTCAGATCAGAAACGTGGTTTCTGATAAAGATTGGTGGCTTCTGCAGGGACATGAGTGGCTCAGGGACCTGCTGGTGACATTGGTGGTCTGTGGGACCCTTCAGTGTGCAGGACATGAGGGACTGTCCCTGCTGGCATCACATGGAGCCTCTGCCTGCCTTTGGGTGGGTGCTGCACCCCCAGCAAGGTGAGAACCAAAAGATTTGGTTTTCTTGAGGGTTATTCCTACCTCTCCCAAAATGTTTTCCCATCCCATTAGAGTGTGTTTGCTGAAGCAAATATGTTCTGTTTATTTATTTAATGTGCTGTTAAATGACCTTCTGGAAAGCTATTCCTGCCACGAGGCTTTAAAATGGATGGGCAAGCAGAACTCCAGGGAGCATGCTCCTCCCAATCAGGATGAATCATTCCAGTAGTTAGTGTTTAGATTGATATAATTTTAGTTATAATTATGGGTAACGAGAAGGCGTTTAGAGCCTGTAACATTGTAATTCATGGTGAGAGGAGTCCTAAATGAAATAAAATATATCCAGATTTGCTGTTTCCCCCTTTCTAGGTACTGTGCACGTGGCATGGTTCTTTAAGGAACAGATTTTGTGCTGCTGCAAAAATCTAGCAAAAGTAGGTCAAAAATGACATCTAGAGATAACATGTTTGGTAACCACAAAGGGCCTGTCTGTGTCTTTCTATGTGGCCTTTAAAGAGTCCTGAAATTTATTGTGATAGGTACAGCTGCAGTCTGGAAAAGTTCTGATCCATAGGCTCCCATGGACTGTGGTGGGGGGATCACAGAGGAATATTGTCATTTTTGTTATCCCATTGGATAAATAGGAGCTGGTAAAATGATATTAGCAAAGATCTGGAAGTACAAGAGACAACATTAAAAATGCATGAAGCTGCTGTCATCTGCCTGGCTCTGGAGTCTCATCCCACCTCAGTCTGGGCCACTGAAGAGGTGGCAGAACCCAAAAATGAAATGGTGATAGCAATCCCCAAGAAAAGGACTTCAGATTCTGGAAGGACCTCACAGCACTTCCAGGATCTGAGGGGCCCTACAGGGAGGCTGGAAGGGCTCTTCAGCAGGAACTGGAGTGCCAGGACAAGGGAGAATGGCTTCAAACTGAAAGGGGGGACATTTAGGTGAGATGTCAGGAAGAAATCCCTCCCTGTGAGGGAGGTGAGGCCCTGGCACAGGTGCCCAGAGCAGCTGTGGCTGTTCTGGATCCCTGGCAGTGCCCAAGGCCAGGCTGGATGGGGTTTGCACTCCCTGAGTCCATGGAAGGGTGGAACAAGGTGAGATTTAAGGTCCCTCCGACCCAAACTGTCGCTGTCGAGGCAGGACAGGAATGAGGAGACTCTGATTCAGAAGCTGTGAGAGTAAAACTCCAATTTATTAAAAATACACTGCTCTTTTATACAGAGCTTCATGAGGACTAACTCCATTGGTTCTGAAGTGAAAACAAACCACACCATTGGTGCAAAGTGCTTGATGCACAGTGATAGAACTTAACTACAAACAATGTGAAAAACAAGAGAGATAAAGAATTATTTACATTCTTCTCCAACTCTTTCCCAGGCTTTTTGCCTGGCTAGAAACTCTCTGATTCTTTCTTTGACTAAATCTGAGACCCACACCAAACCATTCTGGGATTCCATGACTTGAGAGCCGCCCCATGATGGGCACGCCAGAGGCTGTGTCACCCGTGGGCGTGGGGAGAAGGGGACACTGGAGAGAGCAGAGGAGCTCTGGGGGCTGCAGGAGCCCAGCCCAGCGCCGCTGCCACCGCCGGGGCTGGCGTGCCACGAGCTGCTGGCACACACTTGACAGTTGTCTGGGGTGCAGACGTGTGTGAGAGCTCCCCTTTCCGAGCTTTCACAGCTGTGTTTTCCTGGCAGCGCTGCGATGAGGAGAGGGAAGCTGTGCCGTGGACAAGGAGAGGGAAGGAGGCTGTGAGGAGGAATGCTGAAGCCTGACACATCCGCGTTAAAATAGATATGGCTTTTTACATCTGTTGATGGCTCGATAATTAGTGTTAAATAAAAGCAAAGCTTCAGTATCTGCAACTGATATTTCACATATGCTGTACAAGACACCGGTATAATGAACACCCTCAGCCACGTTTTCAGAACATGATTTAAATGATGGAGTTTTCTTTATGGCACGGGGTGAGCTACATTTCAGCAAATGCCTGGGAAGCACCAGCCTCTGCCCGTCATGTGCTGTTGGAATGTGCAGGCTGCTCTGCCCTGACTGCAGGTGACAAGCTCTCCACAAACTCCCTGAATCTCTTACAGACTTGATAATGAAATACATAAACTCTGACCCTTATTGATCAGGGCTCACACTAATTAATTTCCCAAAGTCCTGTCCCAGCCTGCAGTGGTATCAATAAAAAAAAAAAAAAACTCAACAAATCCCACAAGGATGGAGACTTCAGTTGGCCAAAGGACCTTAGGGGTGAAGTACTTATCCCATGGAAATCAATGCCAAGTCCCAATTGATTTCACTTGTGCATAGATGTTACCATTAGTCAAGTACGTGGACACTGAGCCTCAAAAGTTTATTTGTTGCCAGAAGAGTTTCTCATGGACCTTCCCTGTGACCAATGTGCCTCTGAAGTGTCTGCCCAGGGCTAACAGTGATCTCAGTGCTGTTCTGTCATGGGGAAGTGACCAGGGATATTGCTATGCTGGTTCAAAAGTCTCAGGGCCTTCCTCACAATGGCACAAAAAGAAAAAGAGGCAGGAATATGGCTTTTCATTTTTCCAATCCAAGCTTTTATAAATATTTCCCACTGGCAGGGAACCAGTGCTCTGCAGTAACTCCAAGATTCCTTCCCACATTTAGCACTTTCAGTGATGCTAATTTGGCTTAATTACCCTAATGATGTTCTGCAGGCAGAGTTGAGCTAGTGAAGAGTCACCACTCCTGCTCTCAGCTGGGTCACCACTGCCCCTCACCACAGCCATGGTGCCTGTGTCCCACCTCGGTGAGGGAGGCAGATGCTGCAGGGCCTGGTATGATCCAAGGCAGGACCCAGCTGGGATGTCACAGGGAGTTTTCCATCCTGGAAACCTCTTGGAAGGGTGAAGCCCAGTGCCTCTTCCAAGCCCAGTCTCCCCTGGATCATTTGCAGAGGTGATCCCACGGTGAGAGTTTGGCTGCAGCGTTTGCTGTGTGTCAGCTCCAGGCCCTGCAATAGCAATGCTTCTGGATTTCTTTAAGATTTGAGCAGGGTACAAACTGGCACAGCTCTGCCCTTTTGCAGTGAAAAATAATAGCTTTGCAAAGTGAGAATTGCTCTGGAGCGTTACCTCTGAAATCTAAAGGCAACATCTTAAAGTGTCAACATGGATTGCTTTTAATATCTTCTAAGTGGCAATAATGATCCAAGGTATTCACCACAATTTCAAACTGACTTCCATGCATCCTCACTTGCCAAAAGTCTCTACATTCAGCTGCCAAAACCTCCTGTTCCCTTCCAACAGTTTCTCCACAGCAGGTCTGGGTTTCCAATGCAAAACTCAGCATCACTGTGAAAACTGAAAAGGTGAAGATATTGTAAACCAAACCAAATTATAAACTAACTAGCATGAAGTCAATGGACTTTTTTGTTTTCATATGGAATTTTTTGAAAAGCTGAGTTTATTTTACTTTAAATAAAGCTGCTACTGAATTTCCAGTTGATTTAGCCAGAATACAGAGAACACACTGCAGGATTTGAGTTGTGTTTGCTGAAATATCCATGGCCTTGAACAGATAATATATTTTTCAGTAACATATTTCTCTGCCCACTGAAGTTCTTTTTTTCCTCTGTGCTCTCTCCAGATTGACTTTCACTCTACTTATTGCCTGCCTCATTTCTCACCCTATTTTTCCAGTTGGTTTTTTTCCTACTGCTTTCCTCAGTATCTTTCTCCCAGGTTATAAGCAAAGCAGAACCCAACTTCGGGCTGAACTTTTAAACCCACATCTTGAAATTAAATAAAACAAGCCCCTTCTGTCTCAGTGTAGCAGTAGCTTCACAACTTGAGTCGCTTAGCACTTTTAGCAGCTGCAGGATGGAAGAGGTCCACTGGAAGATAGCTTTTAATGCTGGGGAGGTGCCACAAGAAATAGGAATAACACAGGAATATGGGGTAATAGACACTCTGTGGGTACTGAGATGTCCAGCTCTCCATGAGGATTTTAGAGTATGCCCTTGGCTGGCTGAAGGAAGGAAATCCAAGTTTAAGGAATGTGGGGGATGATGCACCTCCCCTCTCAGCCCCCCAAATTACCTGGCTAGCCCAGATCTACAAGGCCTTGAGGGAAGGTGAATCAGGAGATGGGCAAAGATACAGAAGAGGCTCCAATTCCCCAGTGTGGTTCTCCAAGCTTGTTTAATCCATGAGATGAGGGGGAAAAGAGAGAGAGGGCAGGAAGGGTCATGGCCTGTCTAGGCTCTGGACAGGGAGGGCTTTCTCCGCCAACCCCATCAGAGCAGGAAGGAGGGGCCCACACTTACCTGATGCCAGTCACAGGGGTCCCTGGGAATGGGGAAAGCATAGCCTGAGCACCCTGTAACAGGGGGAGAAGCAGAGGAAGGGGCTCAGTGACCAGGCTGGAGCTCACCCACCGATCCCTGCATGGCTGTGGCACCGGGCTGCCAGCCACCCTCGTGTGCCCTGGCTGGTTGTGAGCCTGTGGGTGCACAGGTCAGAGCAGAGCTCACCTGCAGGATTTCCGTGGCTGGCAGGGCCTGCGGTGCCGTGGGCAGACCGTGTAACCGTGGCTGTGTTGTTGTTGTTGTGCTTGCAGGACCAATGCCTTAGTCCAGCTCGCCCGCCCAGCTCCGCGCCCGCCCCGCTCGCCACCGCGGCCCTGACATTGAACTCACAGCAACCCGGACCGAGGAGGCTGCCAAAAAACTCCTGCTATTCTTCTTCATCCTCACTAACAATTTGGTAATGAAGTATTGATTTCCACTCCCCTGCTTATGGACGATATTAGATTTTCATTGATAAACTGCACTGGGGCTGTCTGGTCTCCACTGTCCCTTTTTGCTGTCACTAAAACAAAGTGCCACTGAAGTAAGATAATGACTGAGAACATTGATGTACTTATTTCGTCAATTTGTAACACTTGACAGGAAAAAAAAATTCTTCATAGTTTAATGTCCAAGCGTGCTACACAAGATGCAGTCACATTGGAAGCTTTACTTTTCATGGTAATGTCCATTTCCTATTTATAACCCCTTTGGGATAGTTTGTCTAAAGGAAATGTTTCTATTCTGTGCAGCTATTACTGTTGCACCTGGGTTGCCCAATCCAGTCATTGCACTAGGGATCAATACATCACAGTAAGTACAAGAATTATTAAGTTAAAACAGATTCTGAGCCAAAAAACCTCTGAACAATGTTAATCTTCTGTGCAAGTTGTTCAAATAGTTATGCTTAACCATGTTGCTGCCAAAGATTTGTTTGAAATGGATTATTTTCAGTTTGTTTTATTCCTCAGATATATATATATATTTAAATCTCCATTACAGTTTATGACTAGACATATGGGATGGAGGGATTTTTAAACAAAAGTACTATTGTTAGATTATTGAACATTATATAAATATAGATATATCTATATATAAATATCACTATATAAATATCTATATATAGATATAAAAGAATAAAAGTAGAATTCCTTTCTCAGTTAGGTGAGTGTAAAGCTGAAACTCTGGTGTAGTCAACAGAGTGGCTTTGGATTTGTGCCACCAAAACTGGGATCAGAATCTGGTGTCTGAGCATTGTCTGGCCCGACCAGCACCGCTGGCCAAGCCTTCAAACCCACCCCGACCTGGGAGAAGGGGGCTACAAAAATGGCAATTTCAAATTTGTGCTTGTAACTTTTTTCATTAAAACTTCGAGGGCCCAATTTTAATTTGTGGAATATTCACGTTAATAATGAGATCTAATTAAGACATCCATTAAAAGCCCGTTAAAGTTAATTTAACGTAAAAATTCCAATAGAACTGTATTAGATTTTCTCCATTAAATTAACGTTATGGATTTTTAACGGATGTCTTAATTATACATTATTATTAACGGGAATACTGTATTACACAGATTAAAATCGGGTCCCAAATCAACTCCCAGAATCTTCCAGGATATGCCAATGTCACGAGTCCCAGTGTTCCTAGTGCACTGCTTGGAAATCCAGGCACAGCCCTGCTTGCTCTCGCTCAGAGAAAACAACCTCCAGTAGACAAATCCATCTCTGCATTTAACGATGAACTTCCCCTAGTCTCCAAGGAAAAATAAGTCTGGATCAAGTTGTAAATCGCTATTCCGTGGCAAATGAAATATTCAAAGTATGCGAGGCACAAGTGGAGAAGAGGCTCTTTCTCAAATCAGAAAGGGCTTTGGAGTGTCTTTTCCTGTTGTTTTGTTCAAGGATATAATTGAAGTGCAGCAGTCACAAAATCAGACTAAATACATTCCCTGCATTCCCTGTGGCCTGTGCAGAAGGGCCTGTTTTGGCACTGCTTGGGAAATTTTGACATGATCCCTAAACTCAACATGGAGGAGAAAAAAAGGCCCTTCTTATTTACCTCCTAGGGAAAGTGTTGCCCTTATGCCACATATAATCGCAAATTGCTTTTTTTATGGCATGCATAACCTAGATGGGAAAAAATATGGCGCTTGAAGGAAGGAGGGAAAAAGTAAATGAAGTTCCAGGAATGTCATTCTGAAGTAATGAGGCATGGACAGAAAATATACCCCTCACATCATCGGATTGAGATGGCAGTCGAAATAGCTTCATTGAAGTGTCAGCACTCATCCATCAATCAATCATCCACAAGGAAAAATAGCGACAGTACAACGGGGCGGCTTTTATGGGATTTACTCATGGGCATAGGGAATAGCAGCTCAAATGTAGTTCTGACATGAAAAGCAAGGTGCTGATATTATTTTTTATGATGGGAGGATCATAAAGTGAATTGAGAACAGTGAGGTCTGTCTTTGCTTAACCTATTCAACTGGAAATGAACGGAGCTCAACTGGAAACGAGCAGAGCCTTCAGATGGGTTAAGATTGAAGCCTGCACCGTGCTGAGCACTGGCCATCGACAACAAAATTCTATTAAAGCAAAATCAATGCATTAGCATCGAGCTCCTCAGAAGCTGTTAAATTGCACAGCCCAGGCTGGAGTTATGAAGTTGCACAAGGTGGGGCCTGTGGTGCCGACCCAAATGCCACGAGCACCGCAGAAAATCACCCGGGGGAGGAATTGCACGTGTGGCTCCTCTCCCCGAGCTTTTGGGTGCAGGGAGAAAATCTTGGGCTGCTCGCAGCATCTACAGGTGAAGCTCCCAGCCCTGGTCTCTCAGGGCCGGGAGTTTGGCTGGGTTTTAATAGGATTCTCCATGCAGCAAGGCCAAGCTGTAGGAATTCCTGCATGGAATTCCTGCACGAGGAGCTCTTGGGATCTTCTTCCCACAAAAAGGGGGACTGGGGTCCCCAGCCAGCCCACAGCACCCAGAGCTGGGGCTGTTTGGAGCAGCAGCTGCTCAATTTTGGCAGGAAACCTTTATGGTGCCCCCAGGGTGACCATAGGGTTCACAGCCCCACCAGGGACCCCGGAGCTGCAAAAGTCTGGGGAGATTTTGGGAAGGCCAAACCCCCTGAGGGAGGTCAGGTTTTGCTCAGGAGTCTTCACTTTGTGGGAGCAGCTACTCTGTTTAAAAATCTGGCCACAAACCTTTATCACACGGTGCTAAAGTTTGATCATTTTACCTGCATTGCTGTCCTTGGGGAACGTTTTAGGTACACATTTGAATTAAGTGATTTTGGTTGGTTTTTTTTTTTACAATACGATATAAAAAAATGTACATCTCTCTTTTCTCTGTATGAAACTGGATGAGTTGATAGTTTTTCTGTCATATAAATCAGGTAGCACAAAAAAATCATTGCATCTTTTCTCTGTCATCGCTACTCAATATCTATCGTTCTGACTTTTATTCTTATTGGAGATCATCAAAACATTAATTAAAAGCCTGGTGATCAAACAGCAGAATATTTATGATTCACGCCCTTGCTTATTAACAAGTGGCATATTGATACACCACATATCCAAGCTGTTTATGCTCTTGCACTGAAATAAAGCAGGAAGAGTTGTTACCCTTACACACTACTTTGAAAGATTTATTCAGAGACCACAGCTCCCTTCCTGCCACCATCCATGTCAAAATAAGCCATATCACCTGAAAAAAAAATGTTTTGTTTTAAAACAGGGAGATGTAATTAGCATCCCTTTGGGGCCCAATATATAAGAATTTCAGTGGATCAGACTCAGGTGTTTTTTCCAGGTTTTTGTTACTTAAGCTGAGAGGGAGAAGGACACTTAACTTTAAAAATGGCTGTCATATGTACAATAATAATTGTTGGGTTTAAAGAATATCTTTGAGAATCTGCTAACAAACCTGCCCAGTAATTACTTGTCAATGCAAGTTATTATGGGTTTTATTACCTACTTGTAAAAGTATTTACAAGACTGACCTCCCTAGCTTTTTTAGAGATCAGGGAGGATATAAAAAGTCATTTTAAAAATCAATAATTATATATTAGCACGATAGGGGGTGAAGCCTTCCAAGCCAGTTTTACAGGCTGTTGAGTCAACTCTCATGCATTCAAATAGCAGGATTTTTTCCCTAATTTTTGGCTTCTTTTTCTTTCCTTAATCATGTTTTGATAAAGTGCCATATTTATTGATTTCTTCAAACCCACAGTTCAGCTCCTAAACCAGAAGGGGATATTCCCACTGGGAAGCACCCATGCAGGATTTGCATGGAAAACCAGCTGCCCTGGTGACCAGGAAAAAGGAATATTGGGGTTTTGGGTGGGAGCTGCTGGGGGGACACTGGCTCTGTGCTGGTTCCCCATGGCCTGATCCAGGCTCATCCCAGACACTCAGGGTCATGCTGGGGATGTTCTTTTGGGATCAAACCTGCTAAGGACACAAGGGAATGAGGAAGGCAGCCTGATTTTTGGCAGAGATTGAAGATGTGGCTCTGTCCCCGTCCCCTCTCCATATTCCACCGTCACTCCGGGGCTGGCAGAGGGGGATCTCCATCACACAGGGCTTTTGTCCTCACCAACAGATATACGATGCAATTTATATTTAAAATTCTCTCTATAAAGACAGTATTGATCACAGATTCCAGATCAATACGTTGCAATTACAGCAGGCTTTAAGGGCCATCTGTCCCCAGGCAGGAGCACTGATAGAGCCACTTCCATAGGCTGTCAGCAAGTGCTACTGGTATGTGCCCATCTTCTCCCAGCACAGCCTGACGTGTCATTTCTGCTCCTAGGAAGTTGGTTAGGAATTATGGAGCTGTAACTCCTGGATATTGACCACCCCAGAGCCCCCAGACCAGCTTCTCGTTGGGTTTCACAGCAGGGTCAGTGACACTGGGGTTTTCCTCCCCTGGGTTTTCTGCTCCCCATCACAATTTGTCCCACAGGTCACAACTTTTCTTGTCCTCAGCTGGAAATGGTCAGCAAGAAGTTCCTGAATTTCACTAGAACTAAGAACATTTCCCTAATGGTGCTGAAAAGTTTCAGTTGGACATTGTGGGTGCAAACAGAGCCTTTTTTATGTCCCAGAATCGTTTGGGTTGGGAAAGATCTCCAGGATCATTGATCCTTTGACCATTTGGGTCAGTTTGGACCACAGCAAGTGTAATATATCTAAACATAACAAAAGAATAAAGGACATGCATCTAAAGGCAGATTTCAATGGTATTTAATCAATAATGTCTTCATTTGTCAGCAGCTGAACTCAGGATCAGCCTGTTGGTTGATGGCCCTGAGTAAGCCACTGGGTGGTCATTCCAGAAATGCTTCCTGGGATTTCTTTTTTCCTTCATTATTTCCTGCAGAGGAAAACACACAGAATTTACAATTCTTATCCTCCAGTTGTCTTCTGAAGGAAAGTGAAAGAATAAAATAATTAAAATAATGGGTTTGCAGTGCTACTGGAAGCTGACTCACCTTTGCACCCCACACATCCCTGTGACCCCCTCCCCTCCCTCTGCTGAAAAGCAGAGGCCAGATTCTGGATGCATTTATTCCTGGGTAAATCCAGAGACCCCCTTTCAAATCCAGCAGATTTACCCTCTGTCTACCCAGCTCCAAATGCCATCCTCGTGCTCCCAACATCAGGTTCTAAACGTATTTAGGCATTTTTGAAAACAAGCCCAGGAAACTTCAGTCCCTAGCTCCAGGCAAGTTAAATCTCCAGCACTTGAGAAGGTTTTTAGTTATGTCAGGGAGGTGATTGCAAAACTTTGGTATCGATGTGACTCTGCTTGTAAAAATAACACCAGTTGTATCAATATAAAGCACTTTATACTGGTACAGCTCCTTTTGCTCTGCTGGACCACTTTTATCCCAGTGCAAGTACTTGCATCCCAGTATCCTGCAGTCTAGTGGTGGATTTTTGCTTTCATTCTGCCAGAAGAGAAGTGAAGAGTAGATGGAGTTTCAGACGACACTTATTTCTTGTACCAAAATGTTTGCACAGTATTTTCTTGGAGAGTAATTTTAAAAGTGAGCTCACTGTACCACTGGACTTAACTGTAGAGTAATAAACTTCCAGTTCATCATCCCTCTCAGCTCATGAAATGCCTTTAGTTCTTTGTAAAAAGCCCTGTTTGAGACAACAGATTAAACACTAATCCTGGCGGATCGCACAGCTCACTTCAGTTCACACCATCGAGCTGAGCAAACTTTTTTTTTTTCCTTTCCTTTTTTGATCTAAGTAAAGGCAACAAATTCTTTCATTAGATTCCTTAGATGAGATAGCAGGGGGAAAAACGACCAGTATTTCGTGAAGAAAATGAGAACAACATCTTGCAAAAGTGCAGCCACGTTCAAGGCGGGGAACGCTTTCCCCATCCCCACAGGGCATCACGCATCTCCTGCCCAGAAACGTGGGCAATATTTTCACTGAGAAGCCGGTCCAGGTGACATTTCAGAATGGCAAATCTGTGTGTGTCCAGGAGGACGTGCAGGTGCACACACCAAGCAGCCAGGGCCACGCAGGGCTGTGTGTGTTTGTGCATCCCTTCGGGAGCAGGCAGCTGGGCACTGCTGGCAGCAGGAACTGCAGGATGGGCAGGGCAGGAGCTCAGCTCTGCCCACAGCAGCTGCTGCAATGTGCAATACAGGCTGCAAAAGCTGACAAGCTCGACAGTTCTCATTTGGCTCAGGGTTCTTCTCTGTCCTATGTCTCTGGTACAATGCGCCCTTTTGTCCTGTCTTCTTAATCCTTTGTTGGTCTTTTACTCTGAGTGTTTGTTTTGGGTTTTGTTACCTGGAACCAGGAGGGACCCAGCCCCATTTCAGGCACAGTTGGCCACACTGGTGAATCTGGATGGGTTTGCTCTGCCCCAGCGCTGCTGCTCCCTCTGTGTGTTGTTGGCAGCATCCTCAGGTTACACCTGTGACCCGTGCTGTTAGGATCCTGTTTCAAAAACAAGAAGGAAAATAAAGAATCAAAAGCTCATTTCTCTTTAAAAAAAAAAAAAATGTATATACTCCAAATGGCAAAAAAAAAAAAAAAAAGGCAAGATTAAACCCATTTTTTATATGAAGAACGCAGCCTCCCTGGCGAGAGGCCTGGTGGTGACTTTCCCTGGGAATGTCTCGGTGCTCCTGCACTCATTTTGGAACCAGTGCATGCTGTATAGAACATATTGCCTGTAACTCAGAGAGGAGGGGGCCAAGCTGCTCCTCCTCGGGCCCTGCAGCTTGTTTGGATGAAAAGTTGCGCCTTTGATGCATTTTTATACTGTACATATTTGTATATATTAACTATATTGCCATGTTATGAACACAGATTTTGTTATATTTGCTTGTTTCGGTTTCCTACAAAAAAAGAAAAAAAAAGGTCCATAATGGGGGATATTATTTTTTTTTTTCCCATAGAAAATACTCTTGTAATTTTTGTTTGTTTGTTTTCTTGGTCATCATCTTTTAATGGCTGATAAAGGAATTAGAGAGGAGTTTTTGGAGGAACTGGAGAAGCAAGTCTGTGTTTGCATGAGACCTGCCCAATTGCTGGCTAGAAAGGGGGGCGGGGGGAAGAGGGGAAATCTAAGTCAAGTTTTGCTTTTAAAGCATGCTTAGTCCCATGGGAAACTCATACATGTACAATTATTCTCTTTGTATTTTATCTAATAGTGCCTGAATTATTTTTTTTAATGTCTTCTTGGAGGAACAATTCATAATTGTCAAAATTTGAAACATTAGCTTAATTTTGTTTTCATGACCTCTCATTTCTTCTCCTTATTTATTTTGTTGCTGTTTATAATGGGCCCCAAGGCCATCTCTGACATTGCAGTGTTCTGCTTCCACATTAAGGATGTTTTTAAAATTACCGAGATTATTGAGCCAACAGGCTGCTTTAATCAAAACCATGTTTCACTTGGTTTGGATGATTATGAATGGTCCTTGCATGGAAAAAGCCCTTTCTGCTGGGAGGACCATACCATCTAGTGGCCCCAGAGCTTCATCACACACAGGCATCTCCAATATTCCCTTTCTCCAAGCCTGCCTGCCAATTTGGCTTCCAATTATTTGCTTATTATAACTAACTTCAACTAAACAAATTGATAATGTTAATGGCTTCCCCCCCCTCCCTTCGGCTGATTGCTAAATAAATTTGTATAATTTATACTTGAGGAGATTATTGCTTTTATTGTTTTGGGTTCCCCCACACCAATTATTAACAATCAGGACTATGTATCTCATTAAATTTAAATCAGGTCAAACCTATTTATCTAAGGCCTTTTCTGATTTACAGGAAGATGACTGCATTCCAGAGCATTTAAGATGTATTTCTGTGTATGATTTTGTAGCATTGAAATCTATTAACGGTGATTTTTTTGTTCTGTATTTTCACCATTGTATTAAAAAAAAATCCCTCAACTTTCCCCACCGAAAACATTACTTTTTATGCCCAGGGATTTTTTTTTTTTTTAAATAAAATCACTGCAGTTTTAGAACTGTAATTAAAGCCCTGAATAATAGATCACACATCTTTATCTGTTGTGTTTAAAAGGGGAAAAAAAAATAGCCCAAACTGTTCACATAATCCTGAATGCCTCATTTCCATAAAAAAGCTTTCTATACATATATTATTTACATTTTTAAACATGGTAATTCTTCCCTTTGTGGCATAAAATGTCTCTTTTCCACTGCAGCTACTGGAAAGCGACTGCTCACATCTGAAATGTTATCGTAATTTGCATCAGGAAACCCAACTGCAGACATTAAGGACTTGGGTGTGTTCAATTATGATTTTGCTGGAGGCTGTCCCTCATTTTAATGCTGCACTCATTGAACCACCTTTCTGAAATCTGGCTGATACGGCTCACCACAGACACCCTTCACAACATCATTAGCTTTGCAAATGGCTTCATTTCACTCCACGCAGACTTCGGGGTTTTTTTGGCCAATTGTAAAATGGAAATTTGAAAAGGGGGAGAGAAAAAAAAAAAGAAAAAAAAGAAAAAAAAAAAGAAAAAAAAACAGATGCACTTAAAACATGAAAAGAATTATTTATATGATAAAAATATATTTAGATTTTCAAAGCACAAGACTGAACAGAAGTGCTCTTTTTATGCTTTCTGAAGATGTTACTGTTAAAAGTCTTTCTACATCAGGCTTAATAAATCTGTAATGACATTTGATGGATTGATTTTTGTGTGGGTTTTTCTTTTCTTTCGTTCTTTTTTTTTTTTTTTTTTGCCTTTCTTTCTCTGCAGAGAGAGAAAAAGACTGACCTGGAGAGGCTGTGGGAGTGAAAAAACCACAGGAATGTGCCTGTTTCAGTAAAACTCACGCAGGATTTCTACAAGCTCTTTTCCCTTTCATAATAATAATTTAAAGTAAGAAAAAGAAAGGGGGAAAAGCAACACGATCAACCTGTGTTGGTTTCTCCCAATTTTTCCCTCTCCCTTCTCTGGCTGTGGGGTTATTTATGGGGTGGGGGGACACACCCATCCCATAAATGCTGAATAAATCCTGTGGTGCTCCGATCCTGCACACCGACCTCTTCTTTTTGTTTTTTTCAAGTAAATTAAAAAAAAAAAAAAAAAAAAAAAAAGGAATATATTGCACACATTTCAAGAAACCCCTCTAGGGTAAAATAAAAAATATATATAGATGGCTAAAATAACAAATGAATCATAAAACTTGGAGATGGAAAAGGACTATTAGATCATCCAATTTATCTTGCTGTCTGCCAATCCAGGTTTGCTCCTTCCCCTGGGCTTTGTCTCGCCTCCCTGGCTGAACTCCAGCCGGGTCCTCTGCCCCTTCCCGGGAGGGAAAAACGGCCCGGGAATGTTGGACAGGGAATGTGGGATTGGGAATGTGGGATTGGGAATGTTGGATTGCAAATGTTGGATTGGGAATGTTGGATAGGGAATGTTGGACAGGGAGTGTTGGATAGGGAATGTTGGACAGGGAATGTGGGATAGGGAATGTTGGATTGGGAATATTGGATTGCAAATGTTGGATTGGGAATGTTGGATAGGGAATGTAGGACAGGGAGTGTTGGATAGGGAATGTTGGATTGGGAATGCTGGATAGGGAATGTTGGATTGGGAATGTTGGATTGGGAATGCTGGATAGGGAATGTTGGATTGGGAGTGTTGGATTGGGAATGTTGGATTGGGAGTGTTGGATAGGGAATGTTGGACAGGGAATGTGGGATTGGGAATGTGGGATTGGGAATGTTGGATAGGGAATGTTGGACAGGGAATGTGGGATTGGGAATGTTGGATTGGGAATGTTGGGCAGGGAATGTTGGATAGGGAGTGTTGGATTGGGAATGTTGGATTGGGAATGTTGGATTGGGAATGCTGGATAGGGAGTGTTGGATTGGGAATGTTGGACAGGGAATGTTGAATAGGGAATGTTGGATAGGGAATGTTTGTTTGATAGGGAATGTGGGATTGGGAATGTTGGATTGGGAATGTTGGATTGGGAATGTTGGATTGGGAATGTTTGTTGGATAGGGAGTGTTGGATAGGGAATGTTGGATAGGGAGTGTTGGATTGGGAATGTTGGATAGGGAATGTTTTATATGGAATGTTGGATTGGGAATGTTGGATAGGGAATTTGGATAGGGAGGGATCGGATCCTGCAGGGAGGGAGGCTCAGCTCTGACCCCAAAGATTTCAGTGCCCCACAGAGCTGGAATTTTCTGGGCTGGGAGGGGGTTTCACCTGCCTATGGCCCCCTGGGATGTGGGGCTGGGGTTGGGATCCACAGGGATCAGCAGAGCTCCCCAGAAATCCCCAGAGCTCCCCAGAAATCCCCAGGGATCCCCAGGGTTCCTCATCCCCCCGTGCCAGAGCCCTGCTGCCCCCAGCACAGCATTCCCAAATCCTGGAGACGCCAGAGCAGCTGGAGGCAGCTCCCAGCAGCCTGAAGAGACGGCTCTGATTTATTCCAAGGGTTTGAACTCGCTCCTCTCGCTTTTTTGTTGTTGTTTTTTTAATTATTGGTGATTCACTCCAGCAGAAGAACAAACAAACAAACAAACAAACAAACAAAAGCAACCCTTCAGCTCCTCAGATGGATGTTTTGGCTACAGGGCAGCTTTGAAAGCTGGTTCAGTTGGTTTTTTTGCTTTCATTTTTCTTTTTTTTTTTTTTTTTTTTGCTGCTCCTCAAAACTGTCTTGATTTAATAAAAGTTAAATGTTTTCATAGGAGAATCAGGCTGGGTGGTTTGTGATTCTTTTGTGTACAACACGAATATTACATTATTCAGCAATTGAGGAATACATTTAATTCTGCCTACCTTTGCTGAGGGTTTTACAGCTGCAGGGGTCTGGCAGAGGGGGCTGAGGAGCACCAGGGCTCGGGGGGACAGTGCTGGGCATGGGGCAGAGCCTGGCACCAGGGAGGGCACACAGCTCAGGGGCATGAGGCGAGGAACGGGAGGAGAGACAGCACAGAGGGCAGCCCACCACCCATGGAAATATCTCCAGGCAGTGCCAGGAGGGGTGCCAGGCTCTTCCCAGTGGTGCCCAGGGCATGAGGAACGGGGATGGGGGATGAGGGATGGAACAGAGTGGGATGAGGAACAAGGAACAGAAACCAAACCAAACAGGTTCCACCTCAACATCAGGACAAAGTCTCTGTGGTGGGGGGCAGAGCTCGGGAACAGCTCCAGGGAGGGAATGGAGACACCCCAAAGCCACCTGGATGAGTTCCTGTGTCACCTGCTGCAGGTGGGTGATGATCCCACCCTGATCCCACCCCGATCCCATCCTGATCCCATCCCGTGGCTGTGTGACCCACACTTTGCTCTGCAGCCTCCAAGCACAGAAGGGCCCCTGGCACTGGTGGCCCTGTACACACAGCCCCTGTCCCTGTCCTGTCCCTGTTGGAATCTGTGATATTTAAATGATCCCCAAATTGTAGAAAGTCTCTGTCTTTCTGCCCCGCTGCCAAAGAAGGAGCCATAATTCGTCTGTGCTGTTTCAAGGTTGTTTATTCTGTTTATCTCTAACATGTTCTGCTGCCCTGCCGCAGCTCTGTCCTGCAGGGCAGCGTGTGGGGCTCTGCCCTCAGTGGGATGGTACAAACATTAAATACCACAAACTCCCTGTGCTGGATTTACAATAACGTGCCAATATCTGTCACCTACGTTGGACAGTGTGTCCCCAGCCTGAACCAACAGAAAAATGCCAGGGACCAGGCAGAGCAGGGTGCACCACTGGGGATGGGCATTTCAGGTGGCACTGCACCAAAGAAACATTAAATTACATGAAAGACAGATTTCCCAGAGAAATCCACCTTAAATACATTTCTGTGTTTAGAAATGGGTGCCAGCTTTCCATTAATACTCGAATTTATAATGATGCAAGTACAGCTCCAGCTCCTTGCTTACCAGGCCACTTTTTGGCCTTCCACCAAAAAGTGCTTTTTGCTGTCCAACTATCACTTGTTTCTACTTTTAAAGCATTCACAACCAAATCCACTGAATCTGGATTTCTGAGTGTGCAGGCCAGGGGTGTGGGGCAGCTAAGGAGAGATTAAGGTGTCCTGAGACTGGGCTCTATAAACCCAGTGCCAAAAATCATTAACAAATCTTAAAAATAAAAAAAAAAATCCAAAACCAAATCCAGAGCATTTCGTGCACCAGTATATTCAATATTCCCCTTTAACTGACAAAAGCTGGACAGTGTCACAAGCGTTAAAGAATTTTGTTTGCTTGTTTTTTCCAAGCTAATAAAACACCAATAGCTCTGGCTAAACTCATCCAGAACATATTGAGGTTAAATTAACAAAAGGAGAAGCCCCTGAGCCCAGGCAAACAGCAATAATGCCTGGTTGGAGAAGGGGGAAATCACATTTTTATATGAAAAGTCCATCTGTAAGCAATTGTGCTAATGCTTTAAAGATGATCAGCTCAGGCTTTTGGAGTCAAACAGGAAAACAACCCAAAATCTTATCAGGAAAGAGATTTTTCAACCTGAAAACAGATTCTGTCAAAATGTCAAAGGCCCAGATTTAGGTTCTGCCAAAAGAGACTTTAACAAGATCACTTTGAGAGAAATGCTGAGCTCAAAACTACCTTTGAACCCGACGGAAGAGCTGGAGGGAGAGCAGAAATCCAGCCCCAAACCAGCACTGCAGGGACCCTAAGGAAACTGTGAACCCAAGGCCAGCACGGGGCAGGTGTTCCCCAGAGGTGGAAAAACCCCAAAAACTGAGCCTGGAAATGTTCCCTGGACAATCCAGAGTTACCAGTGGGAGCAGGAACCATCCCAGAGGTCGGGAATATCCTGGGCTGCTGCTGGAAACTCGGGAGGTTTCAGGAGCTTCTGGTGGGAGAGAGCTGTAAAGAAACAGAAGGCAAAAAAAATCAAGTTTGGTGAAAATGTATTTCAGCATTAATTATCATTTCACTCAGTTCTGATCTTCTCTTTTCCCAAATTATGCTCAACTTTGACATTAAAATTTCATTGGGTTTGCTCAGATCTACTTTATTTAGCAATGTTTAATTAGACTTTTGAGAGCATACATATATATATTAAAAATTCAGAACTACCCTAAACTGAAATAATATTTCATTACAAAATGTGATTTTTTTTTTTTTTTTTTTTGCTTTAAGTGCAAGCTCTTTCCTGATTTTCCAGAATTCTCAGTAAACCAAGGAGCCTGTGGTTTCCTTGGCTTCCGTGGGTAACTCAGGCTCTGCCCCTTCACTCTTTCCCACTTGTGCCACTGAAGGGATGAAATCACAGCAAAATTCTTTGTAATTATTCAACAAGACAAAAAAAAAAAAATCAGTAATTAGGTCATGACTTTCAGAGAGGATTAATGAAAACATTTCACATGAGCAAAGTGAGTTTTAAATGCCAGCGTGCCCCACAATTATTTATCCAGCTGAATTTGCTCCCACAGAAGGTTCTGTCCTGGTGAAGTGTCCTGTTACTCTATGGCATGTGAAAGCACGACGTGAGTTGTTGTTATTGTAAAGGTAAAAAAGGGGAAGTTCTATTTCTGATTCTAACATTTATATTTTTTTAAAGGTGATAGTGAATTGCAGGGTGAATGTGTTACCTCTCTAACAACACTGGTATATTATATACCATACATATATATATATAAACTAGTAGTATATTAAATTTCTTTGTCTCTACGAAGGAATGTAAAACAATAGGTTGT